ACTGAACTAGATGACTTCTTGAGGGCCCTTCCAGACCTATACTTCTAATCCCCTGCTACCAAACCCCAGGCTTACAAACCTCCCGTTCCTAGGAAGACTACTAGATTCACCAGTAATTTGCCCCACTGACATCTTGCTGTTACTTTCCGGAGCTCAGAGAGAGGGCCACAAGTTCCCTTCCTCCCTCAATGATTTTCTCTGCCACAAACCCCAGTAGCAGATCACAATGCTGGGACACAAGGTGCACACCACCATGCTGAGCTTGGTCACAGGATCTACAACCAACTATATGGCCTTGTCCCCCTGTACGGCAAGATGATGCAGAGGCAGAAAGCCCACAAGTCAGCATCTCCTAACTTCCCGCATGATCGCCTAAAACAAGGTCAGTCTCTTGCCTCTATGAATTACCCACAGAGCAGGTTGCTCACTAAGCTACCAGGCTATAATAACTCATTCATGTCCCTCCCCGACTCCAGGATCCATGCGTGGGGAGCCAACGTTATTGTACGTGTAACGTGGGCCAGGACAGAGTGAGGCTCAGTCCAGGCCCTCATATTATACAAAGAAACATTAAGTCCCATCTGATTTGAACTAATGGAAACCAAAACCTCATACAAATCAAGCCATTTGGTTGACAAAGGACCTATTAAATGAATATAAAGCAAAACCACCCTCCAAAGCAAGTACGCTAAACAATTTGCCTTTTTTCCCCCCCTCTCAGTTGGTGGATTATTTCAATCCTCACCCCCAGTCATTAAAATAACCCCCTCTATTTAGCTACCACTGCTCTCACTGCACCAGGCAGGTTAGCAGCAAGTCCTGCCCACAGATAACTAGACACTCTGGATAAATGTCACTCAACTATATTTATAAAGGGTTGGGGATTTGAAAACTCTGCTGGCCCACCCCCATTTCTACCCAGGACCCTCCCCACTGCAGCTCAAAGACCACCAGGAGGAAGGATAGGCTGCCAGCGGCCACTTCCAAGAAGGGGAAACAAAAGCTTCCACTAAGAAATATAGAATATTAAAGGGGTTGGAGCAAGAAGAAAGCTCCAGAGAAGGAGCAAAAGCTGAGACAACCATTGCTGAAGTGCAGAAACAATGACCTCCCTGCCTGGTGGTCTCCTTCAGTCTACAAACAAGGAATAATAGCTAGAGACCCTGAGGAGCAGCTGATGGAGAAGGTTAAAGGCTCTCCCTGAATATGGGTCACCTGCATCTCCCTGGCTGCAGAGATTACAGGTGAGAAGTGAGGTGGGACCAGCTGGAGGTGATTCTTCATTAGCAAGGAAGATAAAGGGGCAGCTTGGGGAGGGGGGTACTGTTTGCCTGTGCCAGTGCAGGGAGCTGGAACAGATTAGCTGGGACCTGGCTTGGCTTCACATCAAGGTAAAAATGAAATCCTCCTTTTTCCTCTGGCTGCTGAGTGGATACTTGGGCCGAGAGGAATCTGCTGCTTATGTGATGGCTACTGGCTGGAGTGTCTTTGACTCAGTCTGTAGCAGCAGACAACTCGGGCCCCCTCCAGAAGACCTGGCGTTTGGGCTAGTTTCCTGCAAAAGCTTCTGCAGTCCAGGATGGATGTGCAGACCCGTCAGTGCAAACACAGCATGCAGAAGCCGGAGCATCCCACTCGGTGGTCCCTGGAAAACCGAGCTACAAAGAACCACACAGGTCCTGCAAGTGAAAGTTGGACATTTTCAATGACACCAAAACCCGATGCTCCCATATACCAGCCTTTCTGTGCTGTACTTGAGAGGCCTGTTGCTTCTCTTTACAAGGCAAGCTGCTAACTATTCACTCTCTATCCTCGGGCACATTCATCAATTATTACCTCGAGTCTGGGTAGTCACCACTGCAGCCACACTGATGGTCGTGCAGGCAAGATGAGAGAAGGGAAGGCGCCTGACATTCAATTCGCTTTAAGGCTGTTGCAACCATCTCAGGAAGTCTCCGGCACTTGGGCATGGCAAGTGCTCCCAGTGAAAGCTGGGAGGCTGCAGCAGCCTGCTGGCAAACAGGCAGGGAGCAGGCTGCTGATTAAATGCCACGGGAGACTGTTTTGCTCTCACTCGCTCACACATGACGCTCTTCTGACCTTTGAAGGCAGCACTCCACCCCTGTCCTTCGCCAGGCACTTATTCTCCTTGCCTCCCAAGCACCCACTTGTTTTTGCCACATCCCTCCAAGAGACAAAGTAGTGGTGTGTGCACACCTGCTCCAAGGGCTTCTGAGATATTGTTGGTCTGAAAAAGGCATGGTCTCTCTTAAAACAAAAGCTTGAAGGCAGGAGCTGAGGTTCATGCATCCGAGTGAGAGGGAAAGAGCTGCGCTCACCAGCAACAGCATGCTCCAGTTTTGGGCTCAGTAGTGTATAAACCCTTGTTCTCTGAACACAGATGCTGGGAGGACAGGAGTGCTGACAGGCTTAGCTGAAAAACATTATTGCAAGCAGACCACAGCCCCGGGCAAAACCAAACGCTCCTTCCGTGCTAACGTGGGTAGCTTTCTTGTTAATTAAGTGTTAGGGAACAGCAAATCTGCTTGTAGAGTCTCAGTGTGGTCTCTTAGATGCTTCCAGATCAGAGGGGACGGGCCAAGTAGCAAGGCTGATGCTTTAAACCATGGCTCTTTCAAATGAGGCCCAAACCCTTCCAGTTTAGGTCTAAGGCAGTGATCTTAGGGCTGCGGCTCTTGGGTAGTGGATACACAGGCATGGCTGCGCAGAGGCACCCTGGCCAGCTTGGGCACTAGAAGCAGTCTACCTGTGCTAGAGTGGCATTATACCCTGGCTAATGAGAAACCGGTCTGATTAGTCAAAGCTGGTACAGGTATCCCTGCAGAGCGGCTGTACAGACTCATCTTAGGAGTCTCGCAGGACTGCGAGGGTTGGATCAGAACGAGCAGCCCCCACTACGCTCACTTACACCTAGCGTCGTTCAGGCAGAACCGAACAAAGCAGCCCACATGTCTGCTCTCCCTCCAAGCAGCCAAGTAATAAAAGCCAGTAGCCACCATAAGAGAAGACGGGCCTGCCATGGTACAAGGTTCACCTGCGTGTCGTGCTCTCCTAGTGCAATGTGAACCCTATCCCGCTGCAGCATCAGAAGAGCTGTCCAACTGTCTGGCTTTCATTCCTTTGTTTGAAGGACAGACCAGCTCCTTGCATGCAACGGTGCCAGAGACCCTGTGTGCAGGGCCTTTGTTCAACCAGTATAAATATTCTATAGCTGATGTGTCATAAGGAGATGCCATGAATGCTCACCCTTAGTTTGCATAACAATGGGTGGCAGCAAGTGTTGAAATTGCCCAATCTCTCACTTTACAGAATGCAGAGAGATTTACATATTAATGTGAAGTTGTACAAAACAAGACTATATGAACATGCAACAAGCTCATTTACAGGGAAAAGTGTTTTGTTTTGTTTTTTGTTTTTTTTAACTGCCTCCCTCTTCCCTACCAAGTTACTCTCCCAAAGTTGGGAGAATGCAAAAAGAGACTCAGCATATTGCAAAAAAGAGAAAAAACAAACCTCTGCACCTCTCCCTTCATACTCAATTTAACACATGATATGCAACTAAAATAACGTGGGTCACTAAATTCTCTGCACATAGCAAATTTTATGGCAATTTCACATTTACAGTACTTGTGCACCTCCAAACTCTGCAATGCTAAGGTAGCACGATGCTCAAGGAACCAGTTAGCCAGAAAAATTCATGTTACGTTCCAGCATAAAATTTTCCCCGTGTATGGCTGGCTGACCAATGTGTTTTGGTGGACCATGTGTTCAGGATTGGACACCAATGTGTCCAGGACTGATCTTTGGGTAGCTCCTGTACCATCAAAGGTGACAGGAAGTTCTGCTTCCTGCTGTGATTGCTCACAGACAGATCAAGCACCCAAACCAGAATTGAAGAGGAACTATGAACAGCATTTAAAAAAAGAAAATCCAACAGGTTGGCCAAGTACACATGGTCCGGAGCAGTATTGACCAGGCCAAGTGAAATGGAGCCGTCACCACTGAACTGTGATCACCTGCAACCGGTACTCCAGATTCTCCAGAATCCCCCTAGGCAGAAGTCAGGGATAACTTATTCAAAGGTCTGTATCTCTAAAAGCCATTTCAGTCTCCTAGAAAAATCTCAGGACTCACAAGAAGAGAACAAAATCCTCTACTTGTCTGCAACAGAAGTGGTTACGCTTCCCAGCCTGCCTAACTGATGCAACTCAACCACAAGCTAAAAGAGCTCTAGCCTTGCCCTCTCCTAAGAGCCCCAACAAGGAAGCTAATACACATTGCAATGGTAATAGATCTTGAATTCTTTAGAATCACATCATTACACACTGCCCTTGACCAGAGGTGACTAACAATACTATGTTGTCAATGAGAAGGTTGCTTTAAGTTCATTCAGCCACTGCACTTGCTCTCCAGCTATTAAATAGAACTAAGTCACTGATTTTTTTTAATCATAAAATAATTACACTGCCTTTACCAATTAACTTAAACGCTTACCAGCTGTTTTGCACTGCAAGAGTAAACGAATAGTGGCAATTCACTACATATTAAGCAGATTATATTGTGAATTGGTATGGCAGACACTCGCTAATCCTTTAACCAAAAGAATTAATGGTCATGGCGCCATCCAACAGGTGAACAAACTGTACAGAGAATCCAGATACTGCATCACAAAATGTAACCTAGTCACTTAATTTGACAAGCTTAACTACCACTTAGAATTCAGTTTTAATCATGCGATTGCGGTTTGTAATGACATTTTAGTACCAGGATCTGCATACCAGTACCAGCATACTGACTGAGAAATGGGATTAAAAGGGTGTGTTCAGTCTGGCTATTGGACTGAGAAGCAACGAGTTAGACTGAATGAAATTTTACTATATGCCTTTCATTGACAGCAGAATTAGTACAAATAAGGCACTGTCACCAACTGGCTGAAGAAACATCCAACTCCAGTAGCATCTCCACAAGTAAAATCTTACCTTATAATTGCTGGAATTCACCCAAGAGGTGGCAAGTCCATCGACCATTTTATCCAGCATAGTCTGATCGTGTTCAAGATCAGCAGACTTCTGTTTATCCGAGAAATAATCTATCAACTCTTGGCCAACCTGAAGTCTCTTGCCAACGTCCTTCTGCAGCACCTGTGCTAAGCAGTACTCCATAGTGGGCTCCATGGTCTCTTACAAATACACCACCAGCGAGAATGAAGCTAGAGGGCAGCAGGTTTGAAAAATCCCTCTACAAATGAATCCTGTAGGTTGCCTCTTTGTTCGATGAAGGTTACTGAGGGCCTGGGTTTCAAAGATGCAATTCTGAGAATGCCAACAATGCACCATGTGTGTCTGAAGAGCAGCTGGCAGGATATTAAAAGTCCAATTTAAATAACTTGTAAATAGATAAAGCAGAGAGCAGGGCAGCAGTGCTGTCTTACTGGGTCTCAGATAATTCCCAATTCAGCAGTTCATTCTGCAAGAAATGAAAAAGGACAGTATTATAGGTTACACTGAGGCATGGAACAAAATCAAAAGCATGTCACTGAATAGGTTATTCATAGGAAGGCTGGGAAGCTGTAATAAACTGGGTACAAATGGAGTAGTTCTATTTTAAAGGACAGCATTAGGTAGGTCAGGATAAAAGCCTTAGTTATGCTTTAAAAAGTCCCCTCAGAAGCTGCTCCAATGACAAACCCAGTAAATTTGGGCTTAAAATAAGGGCTGATCAGTACTCAGCATATTCACTTAGCTACTACAGACACTGTCTGTCCCCAGAGGTAGGGAGATAATCCTTGTGGGCCATCAGCCACTAGGAAAAAAGCACCCACTATAGAAACAAGTAGAGAAAACAACTTGGATCTCCATTTGATCTCTAGCTTTTGGCACTCAATGGCCTCCGTAGCGGGATCTTACCGCAGGGTCCATCCAAATGTCAGTAGGACACTAGACTACAAACAACTAGTTTTGTTAGCGAGATGCTCACACCGTTTCCAGGGGTCAAACTAGGATGGACCAGATTACAGCCTGGTTTTGCACGCTCACTAACAGCGTGCAAGCCTAGGAAGCAGCATTCACTTCTTATGCACGTAAGGTTTAAAATGTGGCTTGGCAAAAAGTGTCCCCCTAAAACCAAGGGAAGCATAGCCCCCTTTGTGTGGCGCTAAATAGCTTGGGCATGACACCAGGTGAAACCAGGTGGCTCGGGGGGTGGAGCAGGGTGGCACGCATCAGCACGATAAATTAACAGCACACATGCTCCAAGCACACCAGCGCCTGACTGGAACCCGAGCACCTGCATTTGCACACACAAAGCATCCTGCTAGCTTAACTACGCTTCCTGCTCACGTGCTGAATGGATAAACCAGGGCTAGGCAGGGCATGCCCTCGTGCCATGCAAACCTCCCCACACTGATGCCCGCAGCAGTGTAACACCAGACGGCCACCTGGCTAATGGAAGAGAGGGTGGCGGTCAGCCTCCCACAGCCACAATTAATGGCAGGAGGCAGCCCCACCAGACAACCTCCGGACAGGAGATTTTATAGCAGCCTTCAACTCCCTGCAGCGGGGTTGCAAAGAGGACGGATCTGGACTATTCTCAGTGGTGGCAGAACAAGGAGCAATGGGCTCCAGTTGCAGCAAGGGAGGTTTAGGTTGGATATTAGGAAAAACTCTCTCACTAGGAGGGTGGTGAAGCACTGGAACAGGTTCCCCAGAGAGGTGGTGATAGCTCCACCCTTGGTTTTTAAGACCTGGCTAGACAAAGCCTTGGCTGGGATGATCTAGTTGGGGAAGGTCCTGCTTTGAAAAGGGGGATGGATTAGATGCAACCTCCTGAGGTCCCTTCCAATTCTCATGGTCTGTGATACAGCACCACTTCTTTTAAAAGCCAGGATAAAAATCCAGCAGCTTGGGGTGCTTTTTTCCCCTCTTTCTAAAACTCCCCCAAGCTGGGACTCTACCCTGCAACTTTCTGCGGCAGCAGCAGGGAAGCGGGTCAGGGTCGGCGGAAGGGAAGAGGCAAGGGCGAGGGCACAGCAAACAACTGGAGCAAACCCAGAGGCACAAGTTCACCCAGACCGAGAGCATCAGGGAAGCAAATCGAATGGCCTTCCAATTGAGCAAACAGGCCCCCTCTGCAGTCTGTTCCCTTTAAGCGGCTTCTTTAATCAAAGCACTGCAAATCTGATGGCAGATGAAATGCAAAAAGGCTAACGCGGAGAACTGAAGCATGTCTTTCCCAGCACAGACTGTGTTCCCCCCCACCCCCTCCTCCCAGATGGTTATTCTAGTTCCTCCTTTTCTGGCTAATTTACAAGCTGCTGCAGGCAGGCTCCAGATTCAATCTAGTAACTCACCTGCCTTTCCTCCCCCCATCAGAGGGAGGATTCCCAACCCCACCTCGCAGCACCAGGACTTGGGCTGGATGGGCCCCTGCCTATTTTTCCCCTAAGATGGAGCAGAGCCCTGGCATTCCCTGTGCACAGTTCAAATCCAGTCCCAGGCAGCCATAACTAGAACCCGTGGCCATTTACCTGCTCTTTGGGGTGTTATTTCAAGCTCTACCTGTGTATCAAAAACTACCTCTATTAGGGAAAAGGCCCAGGGCCTGCTTAGTGCTCGAGACTGACCTCCCCTGCCACCCACTACTGACAGATGGCAGTGCCAGGCCAGCATCAAGCTGTGCTAAGAGTTTGCACTAGTTGTGCCCTGCACCATTCTCATTTCATTTTTAAATGGACAATTAAGATGCTACAAATCAGTGTCACAGGAAAGGGCAGGAGATGAGTTTTCAGCACCATTTTGCAAGGCCGTAGTAAGTGAAACCCAGTGCCAGCTGCGCAGTTGCGGATTTGATGTGCCCCTCCCCGCCATGAGCCCACTGACACTGAAGCTTAAAAGCTCCACCGCTAACCCGGAGATCTCAGATGCTAACAAAATAATAATAATAAAATAAAAGCCTGAGAACAGACTATAACAAATATGCAAAACCCCCAGGGAAAAAATCACAAAGCTAAGCAATTAGTGGCAAAGCTGCTGGAAGCTGTCCTCCCCCGTGCTTCAAGACGGCCAGTTCAGGGCTCCTACCCAAGGCAGTTACCTTCAGTCCCCCTTTGGTCTGGAAAGCCCCAGGTCAAGCTTTTTTATTCAGTGCAGTACATCTGTGACCTTCTTCCTCTAAGGATTATCCTCTGTTCCCCCACCCCGAGTTTAGACAGTGATGGATTTGTACCTGGGCAATGGGCCCAGTTTTGATTTAAGCTCTAAAGTTGTTTTAAACAGGCCATCGGCCACTTCAATAAGAGGCTGGAAAGAAGGAATTCTAGTCGATATTTCAACCTAGATGCAAACAAAAATGATGGGCAGACCTTCCCCACAACCTTAAACCTCCACACATCCCCAATTTCATCGTTAAACGAGGCTATAAGCCTACCCCCAACTGCCCGGTGGCCTGCCTCACCGATTCAAAGCACTATGAGACAAGTCACTGGGGTGAAATGCAAAGTAGCCTTTTCACACCGAAAAGAAGGGAGATTTTCCTGTTTTGAAGGCCACCACTTTCTCCTGGGGTTTTGCAAACAGTCACCACCAGAGAAGGACCGGTAGCAAGGCAGCAGTGAGCAGGCCGATGCTGGTGGTACTTTGTCTGGAAATCCCCCCTTGACTCGTATAGCAATTGTTCTAATTTCCTGGCTTTTGAGAAGCAACACGTGTTGTTTTTCTTTCTTGTTAACTGCATCAGAGGAGAAAAGGGATTTTTTTCAATCGTCTCCTCTCATTTTAGAGCCACAACTGAAAAGCTCTTTAAATGATGGAGATGTGGACTAATGCTCTCTTTCCTCCCCCTGCTCTTATTTGGATTAAGATCAGGAGTGAATGCTTACCCACAACCCTTCTGGCACAAATCCATGGATAGGCTCGTCTGAAGGAGTATTAGCTGGCCACACTGTTCCCTAAGCCGGGAAGGGAAACCAGGCTTCAGAGCCTTAGCGTCTGCCTCTTCGACTGCTAGCTCAATTGTGACATAACTAAAAACAGTTGCGATGGTCCATTATTTTAAGCGATTTCGTTTTCAATCAAGTATTCTTGGAACTGCTGCTTAAGCAACTGTAAAACTTAACACTTAAGAGTATTTTAAAAGGGGAAAAAATCTCTCTGCTCTGCTTGACCGTATCTATTTGCCTGCTCCAGGTTGAAAGTCAATCTAAAAGGATGAGCAAGCACAAAGCTTCCAAAAGGACAAGGATTTTGTGTACAGAATCGAGGAGAAAGGGTATAAATTGCTACTGAAGACAAAGGCAGCAATCAAAGAGTAGATCCCAGCATCTACTATTAGCTAATAAACCCCTGCTCCATCTTATAGGACTTGCATTCAGGTTAGCAAGCAGCAGTCACCATCCCTCCCTCTGGTCCTCAGTGTCGACACTGGCTAGTGAGTGATAAATCCCCTTGGGAAGGCCGTATCCCAGGTAAGCACGTTGATCCTCCGAGGCAAGGAAGCATATGGCAGCATCCCCTGAAATCCCACCCCTGCAGAGCCAGGAGGTTTGGCTGAGCAGATGCTCTGGCTGAGTCTCGGCCCCAGGCATCCCTTCTAGCCCTGCAGGATGCAAATCCTACAGGCAGAGCAGGCAGCATCGCAAAGAACCAGCGACTTGGGGAATTTTTACAGCTTAAGGTTTGAGGCTAAAAAAAAAAAAAAAAAAAAAAAAA